AAGGGTTGCACTCAAGATAGCAGAGTGCTCTTAAAACAAGTTTTCCTACATCTGGAAGTTTTATATGGTCCATAGAGATGAGTCAGAAATAGATTTTTTTTTCAGAATTCTCTTTCCTGAATGTAGTGGGGGCACAAAGAAACTTGTGGAAGATTTGGAAGGTAGAAGTGAAGCAGTAGGGGCTGGAACGATAGCACAGCGGGTAGGGTGTTTGCCTTGCACGCAGCCAAGATGACTGATACAGGTTCGATTCCCAGCATCCCATATGGTCCCCCGAGCACCGCCAGGAGTGATTCCTGAGTGCATGAGCCAGGAGTAACCCCTGAGCATCACCTGGTGTGACCCAAAAAAGCAAAAAAAAAAAAAAAAAAACGAAGTGAAGCAGTAGAAGAAGGGCCAGCGGATGTGTTGAGCACCAGGTATGGAGGCACCCCCTCCTGGTTTCTGGTCAATTGGCTCGCTGGTTTGTGGCTGCAGAGTTTGGCACACTCTTCTTCATAGAGTCCCAGGGCATAATATATGGCAACCCCTCTTGCAGGTCACCAGGATCACATCACCCAGGAGGACAGGTAGAAGTGAAAGAAGGGAGTCCAATTTGTCCTTCCTCTCCCTCATGGTACAACTGGTTCTTTTTGCCAATTGTTCTTCCTGCTGTGTTGTAGCAATGTCAGGCTCATCCTGCAGTGAAGTTAGCAGCCTCTCAGGGACTTCTGCAGTTACCCCAGGCTTGCAAAGTCTAACCTCCATGATTAACTTGACTACATGTACCTTATGAAGGTCATGCTGCCAGGTTAAACCTATATCATCACATGTACATGAGTATAAAACCAATACTCATCACATGCAAATGTTTGCACACAAAGACACACACACTCACACACAAATCCCTTGGCATTTATTTTGGCATCAACAGGTGTTGAGATTACTGTCTTGAACACACATACACACACACACACACAAATCCTTTGGCAATCAGTTTGCTATCAAAAGATGTTGATGTTCTGTCTTGATTTGGTCCAAACTCCACCTTGGACAAATTATTTAGTCCTTCTGAGACACAATTTCCACAACTGTAAAGTGGCAATGATAATTGTATCTACTTCAGGAGTGGAGAGACAGCTCCACAGGCTAACTGAATTCATCACATTTGGTCCATGGCACTGCATGGTCCACCAAGCACCACCAAGAGAGTAGTCCCTGAACACCACCACTTATGGACCAAAAACAAAAACAAATTTAAATAATAATAGCAGGATCCGATCTATTTCTTAAATAATAGGGAGCACAGAGCATAGTGCCTGTCATTAAAAGAATAAGAGAGAAAAAATTTATTGCCCATTCTTTGACTAAAAGGCACAAGAGAAAATGCTCTACATCACTAATCATCAGGGAGATGCAGATCAAAACAACAAATGAGATATCATCTCACACCACAGAGACTGGCCCATATCCAAAAGAACAAACGCAACCAGTGTAGGCGCAGATATGGGGAGAAAGGGACTCTCCTTCACTGCTGGTGGGAATGCCGACTGGCTCAGCCCTTTTGGAAAACAGTATGAACGATTCTCAAAAAATTAGAAATTGAGCTCCCATTTGACCCAGTAATACCACTCCTGGGAATATATCCCAGAGAGGCAAAAAAAGTACAGTAGAAATGACATCTGCACTTGTATGTTCATTGATGCACTATTCACAATAGCCAAAATCTAGAAAAAAAAAAAACCCAAGTGCCCGAGAACAGATGACTGGTTAAAGAAACTTCGGTACATTTACACAGTGGAATACTATGCAGCTGTTAGAAAAGATGAAGTCATGAAATTCGCATGCAAGTGGTTCTACATGGAAAGTATCATGCTAAGTGAAATGAGTCAGAAAGAGAGGGACAGACATAGAAAGATTGCATTCATCTGTGGAATATAGAGTACAGAATAGGAGATGAATACCCAAGAATAGTTGAGATAAGTACCAGGAGGTTTGCTCCATGGCTTGGAGGCCAGCCGCACATGCTGGGGGAAAAGGCAGCTCAGATAGAGAAGGGAACACCAAGTAAAGGGTGTTTGGAGGATTCACTCTGGATGGATGTGAGATGTGTGCTGATAGTAGACTATAGACCAAACACAGTGGCTACTCAATACCTCTATTGCAAACTATAACACCCTAAAGGAAAGAGAGAGCAAAAGGGAATGCCCTGCCTTAGTGGGGTGGAGGAAATGGGGTGTGGGGGGGGAGGGCTACTGGGATCATTGGTGGTGGAGGTTGGATACTGGTGGAGGGATAGGTACTCGATCATTGAAACTGAAATTGAAATTGAAACTTGAAATTGAAATTGAAAACATTGAAATTGAAACAGAAACTGAAACTGATCATTGAAACTGAAACCCAAGCACGAAAGTTTGTAAGTCTACAACTGTACCTCATGGTGTTTCACTAATTAAAATATATATATATATCATTGTCCATTCTAATTTTTAGGGTTAGCCTAAAGAAATTTTTTTAAAAGCTTCATTCTTCAAACTATCTGTTAGTAATTAAATGATAGTGTCTTCCTCCATCTGTTTTATGTGATTTACTAAATGGTTTAGAACTTAGCCAGGAGAGAGGAATGCTGCTTATTCAAAGATGTACAAACTCAGTAGTGATAATAATAAACACCCATTTTTTTTCAGGATATATAAGGGATCCTTACATCAGCATTGTCACATATGCCTGCCACAAGACTATGACACAGAGAACATTGGACAGCAAGGCGCTACCAGAACTAAAAGGACTTGGGGTTTCACTTAGCTCTGCCAACAAGCATTTATCTCATTTTTCTGAATATCGATTTCCTTAACTAACAATGTTAAAGAGATACATTCAATTTTTAGTTCAAGGAGAGGGGTGTTTGTTTTTTGGGGGGGAGGAGGTTTTTTTGTTTGAGGATGGTTTTCTTTCCTTTAATTTAATTTATTTATTTATTTTGGCTTTTGAGCCACAACTGACAATTCTCAATTCTCAGGAGCTACTCCTAGCTTGGTGCACAGATTAATATCACCTATCCATGCTGGGGACCACGAAGTGCAAGTCTAGAGCTCCTGCATGCAAAGAATGCAGTCCAATCTTTTATCTATCCTTCCCTGAAAGAGTTTTTTGTTAGTGGTTTTTGTGTTTTGGTTTTTTGGGCTTTTTTTGTTTCGGGTTTGTTTTGTTGGAGTGTTGGTTTGGTTTTGGTTTTGGTCTTTGGACCACACCCAGCATACTTAGAGCTTACTCCTGACTATGAACTTAGGGATCTCCCCTGGTAGGCTCAGGGGATATAGGAATCAAACCCAGGTTGACCTTGTACTAGGTAAACACCCTACCCACTGGACTATTGTTCTGACCCCAGAAAGGGTTAATATTTTTAAAATTGGGGCACCCTAACTTCTAGAACTGGTGGTAGCAATTTCAGGCATTCTGTGTTCCAACTCCAGACCCACCAGCAGTGTCAGCATCCCTCCACTGATGACCTCTGTCAACCCTCTCCATATCCTATCTTTTTAGAAAACTCATGTTTTAAATTTTCATTTATAATTTGGGTCACATTCTTACACTAGTATTGATTCTTCCAAGTTTTGATATAGTTTCTCACTTCTACATCACCAAAATGTCCAAGATTATTGATTAGTGCCCTCATGTTATTCCTAATCCACCTCCTATCCCCCATATACCCCTTTCCCTTGGCTTTCTTATTTCTATATTGCAGTGTCAAGGATTTGAAAGGGTTAAATTCTTAAGATCCTTCAAACCCCAGCAGATCTAAGTCCATAATTAGTTTTATTTTATTGATGGGGGGGGGGGCGGGGGAAAAGAAATCCTAAAAGATTAAATAGCTTAATTCAGTGTTTTACAAAGTGTTTTAACCAAACCAACGGCAGGATCACCAGAAATTATTAGCAGTGCAGATAATTATCCTCATTGCATCCTCAAAAAACATTAGAAATTTTGGAAGACCTAGAAATCTACACCTTTTTAACAAATTATTCAATTGCTTCCAATTTGTACATATGTCACTGGCTTAATATTATAATATGAAGAAAATGCTTAACATGTCCTGAACTCAAATCCCTTCTCATAGGTCTATGGCACTGGAGGGAAAATCCTGATAAGAAAAACATATTCATCTGCAGAAAGGCAAGTTAAAAATTACAAATGAAATGACAGACCCAACTCCTGAGTAATAGTCTGAAAAATCTCTGGGTTGTAATTGAGAACTTTTGATCCATAGCCTTAAATCAGGCTGAAGGTGACTTTTGTGCTCTGCCTCTAATACAATCATAAGAACTTTCCCTGGAATCTTCCACTAAGCTAGAACGCTGAGCCAGATAGCAACCAAGGAGTCTGCAGTTTGTAGAGCCAGGCATAGTGCTGCAGAGGACGGGGGAGGAGGAGACATTCATTGGCCAAATTCAACATCTGCTTCTTTCGGTTCTATTATTGCTTTTAATACAATCACATTGATGTTCAAAAATGCATAAACAAGATAAATTTATGTATGCTCTAGGTATTTTTAGTTCCATATTGTGTTTCTCCTTTAATTCTTTTATTTTTCTTCTTGATTCCTACCTCCCTTTCTGTTCCCTGCTCTGACTCACACAATGCATATTAATAACCTTGTATAGAGGAAGAAACCATCATTAAAACAAAAAGGCAACCTGCTGACTGTGAACAGATATTTGCAAATCATCTATGAGGCAAGAGGTTAATATCCAAATTTCATAAAGAATTCATAAAATTCAACAACAGCAAAAAAAACTGGACTTAAAAAATGGGCAGAGGATTTGAATAGATATTTCTCAAATAAAGATATATAATCAACAGGCACATAAAAAATGTACAATATATCATTAGAAAAATGCATATCAGAACAATGTTATTACTGAAACAGGAAACTAATCAGTTGGCAGCATGCATCGATTGCTCGAGCGAGCTCCAGTAGCGTCTCCATTTGTCCCAACCCTGAGATTTTAGCATCATAAAGTTTATGCTCTCTCTCCACAGATGCAGCGCGCCAACTGGATGTCCTTGGACATAATGGTGACATGCTTGGTGGGGAATGCACAGAGATTGGTGTCCTCAAAGAGGCAGGCCACCAGGTAGGCCTCGCACGCCTCCTGCAGCGCCATGACAGCCAAGCTCTGGGAGGATGGGTCAGTCTTGAAGTCCTGTGCGATTTCAAGCACCAGCCACTGGAACGGCACCTGGCGGATCTTGATTAGTGACACAGTGTCCGGCATGTAGCAGTGCGGCTTCTTCATGTCACCCATGGCTGGCGCGCTCTTGTGGACTGCCTTGGTGGCCAGTTGCTTACATGGCACCTTCCTGCCCATTGACTTTTGTGCCATCTCCTTAGTACAAGCCTTCTCATTCTTTCCAACTCAGTTGGAGACTCTTGGCAAGATTAGGAAAATAAGACCCATTTTAGCTACTGTTGTTGGCATATTTGATATGTCATGGGTGGCTTGCCAGGTTCTTTCGCATGGGCTGGGTATCCTCGGTAGCTTGCCGGACTCTGCGCGGGGAGGAGGGAGAGGAGGGAATGGAGGCTTTTGGGGCAATCTCTAATCATCCCTGTAGGTGTTCCCAGTCTACCGAATGCAAGCTCCTGGTGACTGGCCTGCTGTAACAATTTGTACACTGACAACATGCACCTGCCTGCATCTCAGGGCAGTGCCTGGGGCATCTGAGGCCTCAGGTTGATCTCCTTGAGGTGGATGGAGTATGCCCAGAGGCTGTTGAACAGCTGGCAGAGCAAGATCCAATCGTACAGGGTCTGTTCCAGGTCGAACACCTGCGCTGAGTCCCAAGTCACTCGTTGGTTGATGGGCAGCGTCCCGCAGTGGACAAGTAACTATGCGGGCCACTGTCACTGCTCCACACTAGATGGTGCCATGACTTGGCCCAGCCAGGGTAGGCAGTAATGCTGCAGCCGCTGCTCGCCCTGTGGACACGACTCTGTCCCAATCCCACAAAGCAGCCAGCAATGTCCAGCAGGAACCACACTCAGAACAACATGCCCGGTGCACTGAACTGCACCGTTACCCAAAACGAGATGGTGAGTCGGGATCGGGAGAGCACTAGGGGTTCAACCAGCGCAGGTGGTAAGGGGTCATCCAGTGATGAAAAATAACAATACAGGATTTTTGTAATTGGAATGAGTCCACTTTAAATCCTTTAACGAGGATCCATGGGAGGGCAAGTCTGGTGACTTTAATAAAATAAATAAAAGAGAAAAAGATAACCTAGAAATTTTTTCATCATATAACAAAATACAAACATACTTACTTCCACATACGTATTTGTTTTCCTCATCCTTCACTGAAATTCTTCCACTAGACCCATGGTTCTCACAATGTAATAGTTCCATCATGAGAACCTAAAATGATTTATACAGGCAATCTCTAAATAATGGAAATTCACTCTGTTTCCAGATTATTCCCCTACAACTGTCACTGAAATTAATAACCCTATATATATATGTGCGTGTGTGTGTGTGTGTGTGTGTGCGAATGTGTGTTGTAGTGATTTTATTCTTATAGAGTCCCAAGAATCAGGTATTAGACTCTATGTCTCTCTCGTATTTTGTGGGGGTTTTTTTCATGGGGGTGGGGATTGGCAGGAAAGAAGCTGATACCTGGCAGTGATCAGGGCTTACTTCTGGCTTTACTTTCAGACTTCACTCCTGGTAGGGCTCAGGCAATCACATGGGGGCCAGGGATCAAACCTGGGTCGGCCAGATGCAAGGCAAGCTCCCTGTCCACTGTGCAAGTTCTCTAGCCCCTATATTTTAATTTAATAGACCTAGAGACTGGGGCCCCACTGTCAGTTCTGACCAAGTTGCTGGTGTTTCAATGCAAGAGCAGTAGGATGTACTGCTCAGGTCCTGAGGTGCCAGGGATCCACTGGGCCACACCAGCAGTGCTGAGGGATTTGCGGGGCCACACCTGGAGGTGCTTCGGGGCCATACCCAGCAATGCTCGGGGGACCAAGTTATCAATCTGGGGGTTTAACTAGCATATTTAACATCCATCCTAACTGCTGGACTACCTCCAGTCCCCAGAACACCTTCCTTGAAGTTGTCATTTCCCTCTAGACTTTACTTATGCCATTTATTATAGCTATTTGTGTACAGACCAAAAAGTTAAGACCTTATTATCTCTAGAATATATGTGTCACCACAAATTTCTAATAGGACTTTTAATTGTTATTGCATTTATAAGCATCTTATAAATTTCATACATTTATGAATGATCCTTTTCTTTCTTGTTCTGGCTGTTATTGATAAAATAAATTCTACTAATGATTATAGATTTATTCAACTGCTTACAGAATTTTAACCCATTCTAATAGCTTTGTGATAGCTTCTTGGATTACCTAGGTATAAAATCAAATAAAAATGCAAAGATATGATCTCTTTATTTTCTAATATTTTGTAAGTAATTAATTTTCTTATTGAAGTTATTAAATTGCATTGAATATGATACTTTTTTTTCAGTGCCACATTTTAAACCCAGGACCTTGAATATGTAAGGCAAGTATTCTACCACTGAGCCATATCCCTGAGCTAACTAATTGCATTTTAATTGCTCAAACAAACAAAGACAGAATTGAATAGTGATAGTGATGAGCAGCTATATTTACTTCTGGTTTTAATAGAAAATTTTTAACAACTGCTTGTCAAATTCTTTTCAAATCTATTGATGAAAAGATATTAATTTTCTCCCATAATGTTAAGAAATTATCTCCCATTGAATCACCTTTGCATTGCTGAAACAAAACTATTTTTGTTAATAGGTTTCACTGCTATAAGAGTAAACTATAATCTCATTTAGAAGTTCTGCATTCATGTTTGTGATTGAAATTAATGTGCAGTTTTCGCAGTTTTCTTTTTATACTATTTATAATGGGTTCCAGTATTGAAATTCTACTGTAGTCATAAAACAAATTCAACAATTTTAATTTTTATTCACGTCTTGCAATCATTTATTGCATTTTATGGTAGCCATTCTTTAAAATTTTGTGTATTGGGGTTTCCTTGGGGAAGGTATATACCTATCAGTGCTCAGGGATGACCCCTATTTATGTACTCATAAATGAGTCGTGACAGTTCTCAAGGGACCCAATGTGATGCTGGGGATTTGCACCTGAGTTGACCACATGCAAGGCAAGTGTTTTACCTTTTCTCTCTCTTTATATGAGAAATGACTAGTGCTATACTATCTCTCTGGTCCCTCTTTAAGTTTTTTAAATAAAACTCATCAATAAAATCTACTATTCTGGAAGCTATTTTAAATGTATAGTAGTTTTAAATCAACTTCATTTTTGTTAACAGTGACCTGACTACTCCAGTTTTAAACTTTGTCTAGAATAATTCTATTTTTCGCTAGAAAATTATCTACTGCCAATAGGTTCAAGTTCACATTTTATACAAAGGCACAGATTCTTTAACTTTGTGGCCCATGAAGTCTATAACCTTAACCCTACCATCAACCTGCAAAGGTAGCCATTAATACTGTGTAAATGATAACTATGGATGTGTTTCAATAAAGCTTTATCTGTAAATATTTATTTCCATATTTTATGTAATTTTCCAAATATCACAAAATATTATTCCTTAAACTTTTTCAACTATTTAAATCTATTTTTAAAACATTCTTAGAGTTTGGAAAGACAGTACAACAGGTAAGGAGCTTGCTTTACACGCAGCCAACCTGTATTCAATCCCTGCTACCCCATATGGTCCCCCAAGCACTGCCAGGAGTGATCTGAGTGCAGAGCCAGAAGTAAGCACTGAGCATCGCCAGGTATGGCTTCCAAAACATAATTAATTAATTAATTAATTAACATTCTTAGCTTGAATCATGCAAAAATAAGCATATACCAGATTTCACAGTAAGACCATATTTTATCAGGTCTTACTTAGCCAACTCTTGCTATAAGTTTTCCAATGTTCTCATTTAGATGTGTCATATGTGCTCAGATTTTTGGGCCTGGAGCGATAGCACAGCGGGTAGGGCGTTACGCCTTACAAGCGGCCAACATGGCCGACCCGAGTTCGATTCCTCTGCCCCTCTCGGAGAGCCCAGCAAGCTACCGAGAGTATTCGATATGCCAGACACAGTAACAACAAAGTCTCCAATGGAGACGTTACTGGGCCCGCTCGAGCAAATCGACGATCAACGGGAGGGCCTTTACCTTACCTTTACCTAATTTGGTAAAAAGATTATCATTTCAATCTTTTCAATATCTGTTTTGCTTTGCTGATTTCTATGTATTTTTCTTGTTTTACTTCCTTTAATGAGATTTACTGGGTATTTACCTGGTTCTCCTTTAAGAATGAGTTTTTTCATTTATCTTATATTCTTTTTATATTTAATTATTCTTGATTTATATGTTTAATTATTGCCTCTTCCAAAATAAATTGGTTCATTTCATTGACATCTTTCTCGGGGTAAAGACAAGCATAATTAAGGCGAATTTTTATCTCTATGTGCAGCTTTCTCTGTTACATCTCTGTCATGGGTTCATCATGTCTCCCAATCATACTAAATGTTAATTTCTGGTGCCTGTGTATGTGAACTTATTTAGAAATAGGATCTTTGAAAAAGTAATTAAAATAACATCATACTGAATTTGAGTGAACCCTAATCCAACACAATCAATGTCCTTAAAATAACAGACAAGAAGACACAAAAATACATCTAGAGAGAATATAGCCAGTTAAAAACTGATACAACAATTGTTGTTCTGTTCCAACAAGATAAGAAATGCCTGGGACTACCAGAAGCTCCAAGAGTCAAGAAGAAACATTTCCAAAGAAAGGAAGATAGCCTTTGAGTACTATATGGGATGCTAGCCTATGTTATCATGAGAATGTAGGTGTAAGAATATAAAAAAAAATTATTTATATTGTTTTAGTTACTGAGTTTGTGGAACTTTGGTACTAAAGGCCTAGGAAAGCTATTGATGTTATAATAATGTTCTAAATGGAAGTCATCTTAATTTTTCTTTAATCCTGAAGAAAAATTATAGAAGGCATCTAGGATGTAAGGATGTAGTTCAGTCAGTGGAAGAGCATGTGCTGTGTATGTTTGAATGCCTGGATTTATTTCTAACACTGAAAATGATCATAATAATCATAATCTAAAAAGTAAACATGGGAACCTATAAAATCGCTATGCTTTTATTTGTAAATGTTGTTTAAAATAGTAGTTATTTCATTTGAACTCTTACAGCATTTTTTTGTGTGTGTGAATGTGCACAGTTTATCTAATCTCTTGTGAATTTGCTTTTATTTAGGTGTACTTATTTACAGCATATTGTTTAGGTTCATGTTTCTTATCTT